CCGTTGCCAAAAAGTCATAGCCAACAATAGATATCAACTATTAAGTTCAATTTTTTCATTATGAGGTTTGTTTTGGTTCAAAATTTGGAACGGTTATGGGATTACGCGCAAAAAATAATGAAGGACCGTTCTAATACTAGTCCTGAACCGATTCGGAACCATGCAGAGGGTTTGTTTCGGTTCGAAATTTGGAACGATTCTGGGATTGCGCAAAACAGCTTGCGCACAAAAAATAATGGGGCAAGTACAAATTATACGCTCGATATTTTATCCCCAATGCATATTACATTTTCTAGTTAATTTATCTAAATGCATGACAATAAATTAAATATTCTACAAAGCCTATAGTCCAGACCGACATACACTGCCCACAAACAAATGTTTGGGAACATTTATACACGTGTGTAGGTGTTTTGTTTCAAAGAACATTTAGTTTTTAAACGAGGTAGCAATTGCGTCCAAACTAAAGGCAAAAACATGTCACCAAATAGCACTACCACTGATACGATTGCTTAAAACAACAAACATTTGCTTTGATCGCGTCCAAAAGCTAGTATAAAAACAAATAGTCCGGGGGCCGAGGACCTTTTTTCCAAATCATTGATAACAAGCTAGTTTTTTCAATGCAGCTTCATTTCACCGAGACGCCCAACTTTTTTCTCTTCGAAAATTGTGAAAACAGGTAGCTAACATACTGCGCAGGTGTAAAACATGTCGATTTGGTGACTATGAAAATTTAATTAATAACAGTTAGTTTTTCAGCTAAATGTTGAGATAATTTTATGAATAATTTGAAACAACATTTGTCCGACAAAATAAAGGGTTTGGTCTACGATGTCCACCCCCCTCAAACATGTAGCAATTACGTTGCATAAAAAATGATTAATAACAAGTTGATTTTTTCAATGTAGGTCGGTAAATATTATTAAAATTAAATGGTCACACTGTCCTACAAATAAACAGGTAGCTATTTTCAGTCCTACACTCAAAAGTTGTCGATTTCACGATTTAACTTTTTTCATTGATAACCGGCTAAATCTTCGTGAGTATCTTCATTTTGATAAGACGCCCAAATTTTCTGTTGCGAAAATTCCAAAAACAGGTAGCTAACAGAGTGCGCAGGTGGAAAACATGTCTATTTGGTGATCATACAAATGTAAATAATAACAGTTAATTTTGTAGCTGAATGTTGAGATAGTTTCATAAATAATATGAAACAACATTTGTCCGACAAAATAAATGGTTTGATCTAGGCTGTCTCCCTTCTCAAACATGTAGCAGATACGTTACATAAAAAATGATTTATAACTAGTTGATTTTTTTAATGTAGCTGTAGTAAATATTACTACAATTAAATGGTTACACTGTCCTACAAATAAAGAGGTACATTTCTCCAGTCCTACACTCAAAAGTTGTCGACTTCACGGTAATACTTTATTCATCAATCACCGGCTAAATCTTCTCGAGCATCTTCGTATTGATAATACGCCTAACTTTTCTATTGCGAAAAGTTGCAAAAGTAGTAGCTACTAGAGTGAGCATTAGTGAACACATGTAAAATACCTTGATTAGGTGATTATGCAAATGTAATTATTAACAGTTAACAGTTAATTTTTCAGATGAATAATGAGATAATTTTATAAATAATTCGAAATTCGATTTGAGCCACAAAATAAATGGTTTGGTCTGCAGTGTCCCCTTTCTCAAAAATGTAGCAATTACTGGCTCATAAAAAACGTTTTATAACCAGTTGATTTTTTTACTGTAGTTTGGTAAATATAACTACAATTGAATGGTCACATTGTCCTAAAGAGGTAAGATTTCTCAGCCCTACATTCGAGAATTTCGAAAATAGCCTTATGCATATTATACGTAAATATGTACAGGGCTTTCATTTCAAAACTTGCCACTCACGTTATCTGCGTATGTAGTTATAAATCATTTTTTATGTAACGTATCTGCTACATGTTTGAGAAGGGAGACAGCCTAGATCAAACCATTTATTTTGTCGGACAAATGTTGTTTCATATTATTTATGAAACTATCTCAACAGTCAGCTACAAAATTAACTGTTATTATTTACATTTGTATGATCACCAAATAGACATGTTTTCCAACTGCGCACTCTGTTAGCTACCTGTTTTTGGAATTTTCGCAACAGAAAATTTGGGCGTCTTATCAAAATGAAGATACTCACGAAGATTTAGCCGGTTATTAATGAAAAAAGTTAAATCGTGAAATCGACAACTTTTGAGTGTAGGACTGAAAATAGCTACCTGTTTATTTGTAGGACAGTGTGACCGTTTAATTGTAATAATATTTACCAACCTACATTGAAAAAATCAACTTGTTATTAATCATTTTTTATGCAACGTAATTGCTACATGTTTGAGGGGGGGGACATCGTAGACCAAACCCTTTATTTTGTCGGACAAATGTTGTTTCAAATTATTCATAAAATTATCTCAACATTTAGCTGAAAAACTAACTGTTATTAATTAAATTTTCATAGTCACCAAATCGACATGTTTTACACCTGCGCAGTATGTTAGCTACCTGTTTTCGCAATTTTCGAAGAGAAGAAAGTTGGGCGTCTCGGTGAAATGAAGCTGCATTGAAAAAACTAGCTTGTTATTAATGATTTGTAAAAAAGGTCCTCGGCCCCCGGACTAAAAGTTTCCCAACCTGCAAGCCTAGTTCAGACTTACATAGATTTGCCCGGCAACATTTAAACATTTTGTATAAAAACTGGTATAAAAGCTGTTTAAAATGTGTTTGCAAACATTTGTTTGCGGGCAGTGTATGTAGTTCTGAACTAAGCTTTATGGGAAACAAAAAACTTTGAATATTTGTTTAAATGTTTTTAAACAAATAATGTTTGCAAACACATTTCAAACAGCTTTTATACAGTTTTTATACAAGTGTTTTAATATTGGCGGGCAAATGTATGTAGGTCTGGTCTAGGCTTAAAAGTACTAGACGCTTGATAAATTTAAAGAATGCTCGATATAAAATTTACATGCTCCTTAAAATAATAAATATTTGATAAAAATTATGAAGACTTGATAAATAAAATAATAATTGCTCTATAGCATATTCCTAAATTATTAAACATTTGTTGAAAAATATAATACAGCTTTGATTAATTTAAGGAATGCTCAGTACCAAATTCTGACCTGTAAAGGTGAGAGAAAGATCTAAATTCGATTAATGCCCATCATTATTTGGTATACAAGTTGTGGCAAAACTATACAATTGCTTGGGTAAATTTGGGTTAGCATGAGCGGGTAATTACAGTGTCAATAAATGTAACGCGTGCTCATTGTCAAATCCAAATGTTTCCTGAATTAATAAATATTTTTTCGTAAAAACTAAAAGAGGCTTGATTAATTTGAGGAACACTAAGTACCAAACTCAAGTGCTTGTTAAATTAAATTTTTAAATATTCGGTAAAAGATAATCAATGTTTTATAGTGAATACGATTTATCGAGCACTTATATCACTGTGAAATGCAAACTTTTATTAATTAGTGAACATGAATTATCGAGCATTCAAATATTTTATTAGTGCACATTCCATTAATATAGGTACCAAACATAATTTAGCGTCCAAATTGTATATTTCATATTGTGATTTCATAATAAATATATTAAGGCATTTCTTATTATTTTATACTCCATTTTTTTTTGTTTATACTGCAAACTGCATTAAATTTCCGTAACTTAATCACGATCCAAAATAATGGAGGACTGTTCTAATACTGGTTCTAAACCGATTCGGAACCAAAAAAACCAAAACAGTCACAAAATTACAAAACAGTTGCTCCTTCAGAGCAAGAAATGAGAGAACCGTTTTAGAAAAATCCCAAAATTGTTCTTATATACGTTCTATAATCCAAAGCGCTGACAACACAGTTCGATTACGATTCTGAAAAAAACGAAAATGCTTTTTATAACATGCGCATATATGCAAAATAATTTCGAACTAGTCCTGAGTGATACCAATACAAACCTATTGTCTATTTTATTAGGCTTTTAACTATAGGTGTTGTTAAATGCAAGAAAATTTTGATTTCTTGAAAGTTGCTCTACTTTTGTCGCGCTAATAAAATGTACCTATTGCTTAAAAAATAAATAATTGCACACGAGTTAATTTGACATTTGAAAACAATCATATTAAGCTTGTCACTGGCACCGTAATATGACTTCTGAAACTGAAAGTTTTTGATCTTGGCTAATGCTTATTTTATTTTCGAAAATTAAATATTTGATATTTTGCTAGAGTTGCTTTACTTTTGTCCGTTAGTGCATGTGGCGAAATACAGGTTCACAAAACAACAAATTATTGGCTTGTTTTTCAGATAAGAAAAGACAGTTCTTCTTGGATTAGCCAGAGATCTGTAATTAACTTTTAGGTTGTATAATGAGCAATTTTATTTCCAGGACTCAAATGAATTCAATTAATTACATATCACAGTACAGAATTAGAATAGAATAGAAAACAAGTTTATTATGCAAAAATACAAAAAAAAAAAAAATAGTGCAAATTACATAATAGTTAAGATTTGCTTTGCGTTCTTCCATTCTACCTTAGCAGAATTAAAAATATTTTAATTAAATTATTGTTCTTATTAGTTAAGTAATAATCATCCAAGAAACCCTATCTTTTTTTATCTTGATGCTTATAAAAACATGGATATCAAAAGTTTTTAAACATTACATATTACATCCTGTGCTGACTACCGAAAATCTTTCTTATCAGGCAGTGAACATCAACGTCATCTTATTTCTTATTTTGTGCAAAGTATCAAGTTTTTACATATTATAAGTAGGTAAAAAGTTAAACGTTTATTTTTTACTTCCATCAGATATTAGGTCTCAAACAAAAAAGTAGTGCCTACGATAATACTTATTATAAATACACTGAGATGTGTTACCAGAAAAAAATAATTAATCATCATCATAATAACCATTAAAAAACTAAAAAATAAACTACTTACCTAAATCATCATTAACGGATTTCCTCATATCCAACGCCGCTTCTTGAACTCCACTATCAACATGAACAACATCAACTTTTTCTTCATCACCTTTATAATTCAAAATATCGCTGATGAAAAACGGGGTGACAGTTACAGGAGAAAAATTTGCCGAACTTGGCATCGACTGAGAACTGCTGTCGCCTTCCATTATCACGCTCCCGGAAAATTTAAAATTCAATCCAGTTCCTGTCGGAACTTCAAGAATCAAACTGATCGACCGCCGACCGGCTTTGACGTTTTCAATGAAATCAGTCCCGACACCACTCAAACAAGTTTACTACTTGAGATGCGCTCTATCCCGTTTCGTCTTGACGGCATATGGGGTATGGCTTCTCTCTCGGTTTCCCCAGGTTTTAGTTTGTTTGGGGAGGAGCCAGAAGTTGAATAGTTGCTGCTGCCGTATCATCGGCGAAACCCGATGTTTTATGATTTTTGTTAATTATTTTTAATGATTTATTTTTGCGGTTACCTATAAAATTAAATATTATATTTGATGGATTTATTTTTTCGAGTAATGGGTGTTTTAATTAAAATTCCTGATTTGCATCGATTTTGAAATATAGAATTAGAAAATTACAATGAAATTTTGTTTTAGTGCAAAAATTTTACTGACTTAAGTAAAATTTTTGGAATAGAATTTTTATTTGCAACCAATTATAAAACATATTATGGCGTTATTCCATAAGCTAACTTTTCAACGATACAGCATACTTATATGTCGGAAAGTACTCGATTGTTCCTTTTATGGTAATTCTTTGTGTCAATTTTTTTCTAGCCCAGGGTAAAAAGGGTAGCAACAAAAGTAGTAACGTTTCATCCGAACAGCCAGATTTTTTTACCTTATTGAACAAAAATGTCACATTTTGAAACAAGTTATACCTATTTTTTAAATGGGACGTCCTGCAAATATAGGTGAAATGACCTTCGACCTATAACAAAACCCTTTTATGTTGTAATACGGCGATATACTTTTTTGTTTTGTAGCTTTTCCATGAATATATTTGTGTTTAAGATTCAGTACCCTTGTTAGTAAAGGAAGTACCTATATAATGGCTCTTATGAATAAAACAGAAGCGAATGCTTTTGCTAAGAGTTTTTTGAGATAAACATATTCAGCTTTAAAGCCGCAAAAAGAGACGGAGGTAGAGTAAAAGCATTTGCTACACTTCATGCATACGACAAGTTTTGCATTCACTTAAAAAATCGACCTCGAGACTTTTTCATGTTCATACGTTTTCAAGTCCCTAGATTAAGAAAATAATGGTTTTCTCAATTCCGTGGGTCTATCTATCTGTCTTTTTGTCTGTTGTCGCTCTAGCTCAATAATGGCTCAACCTAGAACAACAATTTTCGGTATACACGTTGACAATAATAATATGTATGTATAAAGGTTTCCGTTCGAAGATATATAGGGTGTTCCAAAAAATATGCATCACTAACAAGACCGGTAAATGATACGAAGTTGGTTATATTAGCAAACAACTTACCCGTTCTTGAAATTTACTGAAGGGTCAGGAACTTAAATTTTGATATTCATCGAAAATGGGGTGGGATGATTTGCTGACGGATGTCATTACCACTGAGTGAGTGAGTGTTTCAATCTTGGATGATTTTAATTTTTCGAGGCGATTAAAGTGGTTTTGGGTATGTGTGCATTCCATAACCTTTATCAAAAGAACGATATCCACAATGTGCATGGCGGACTTCTGAATTTGGTGGTATCTCAGCACCTGGAGGTATCTACAGCTTTGGCCGAAGAACCACTTCTACAACCTGATGCATACCATCCACCACTTGAAGTATCAATTGTATTTTCGACCCGTTCCAACAATCCAGGTTTGCACTGGGATAATTTATTCAAGGACAGATCTTTAGATTTAATTGTCAACGATTTTTATGAATATTTATATCAGGCAATTAATTTATTTGTTCTTTTAAAAAAAGTATCGTCGCGTAATATGGTATTCTTCAGAATTGAATATCTTAATTATAAGTAAAGAAAAGCTCATGTTAAGTACAAAAGATACGGCAGTCACTCAGACTACCTAGAATTTTCCAAGTTAAGAGCCTTATATAAACAACTTTCTGGAGAGTGCTATGAAAATAATATTACTAATGTTACTTCTTATGAGATGTCTCATAATGGAATTAAGTGTGATACCTAATGGCGCTGATATAGCCAATCTATTCGCTGAATTTTTTGCATCCACGTAATGTGATAATAACTATGATATTCCTAGTCAATGCTCAACTAATAATACTAATGTATCAAAGGTTGATCTTAAAATCTCGGAAGTATTTACCACATTGGATTGCGGTAAGGGGACAGGATGGAATACCCCCTAGTTTACTTAGAAATTGTAGTTTTGTTCTTGCTAGACTCCTATTTCTAATTTTCAATGTCTCACTGAATACCGGCTATTTAACATTCTGTTGGAAAACCAGTTTTATCGTTCCTAGTCATAAGTCTGGCCACAGATCAGAAGTAAAAAACTACAGACCTGTTGTTAATATCTTGAATACAATACCCAAATTGTTCGAGAACATTATAACCGAGCATCTGACTGAATCTCTTCGTGGTTTGCGCATGGATCAACAGTTTGGGTTTCAGTCTGGAAGGTCCACCGAAATTAACCTGCTGTCGTATGTTGACTTTCTATCGGAGATTTTGGAGAATGACCGGGAGGTGCATTCTGTCTTCACTGACTTTTCCTGGACTTTTGACAGGGTCAATCATGAGGTTCTATTATCTAAACTTGAGACGGCGGGCATCAGCGGAACCTTGTTGAAGTGATTTGGCAGTTATCGAACAAGATCGGTGTCACATCGTTAGGGTTCATAACTTTAATTCCATAGTCATTGAAGTCACGTCAGGTGTACCCCATGTGGGCCGATTACTTTTCAACTTATTTATTAACGATATTCAGAACTGCTTTAAATTTTCGAAATTACTTTCATCTGCTGATGATCTTAAGATATTTCTTAGAGTTGGCTCTCATCATGATTGTGAACTCATTCAGTCAGATTTGTACAACCTCGTGAGATAGTGTGAGCAGAATGGCATGGCGCTCGACACCTCCAAGTGTCATTTGTTATCATTTTTAAGGTTTCGAGACCCTTCCCTTTTTCAATATGTAATTGATGGTAGTATTTTGGATCATGTGTACACTATACTGGATCTGGGCATTTTGTTTGATCTGTCTCTCACATTTATCCCACGCATAACATCAATGGAATCCAAAGCACTTAAGATGCTGGGATTTTCAAAGCGATCTTTGATAGACGTTCAAAATGTATCTGCTCTAAAGTCACTATATTACTCATTCGTGAGATCCCACCTAGAGTATGCATCCTCAGTCTGGAATCATTTTTATGCAACGCATGTGAATGCCTTGGAAAATATTCAACACAAATTTCTTAGATATGCAGCATCAAGGGTCGCCAATGGTTATGCAATGAATTATCCTGAGCTTCAGACTGTCTTGCCGTGAACAGCATGATTTGAAGCTTTTGTTTAATGTTTTGCACCATGTTTATCACTGTCCAGATTTATTATCAAGAATAAATATTCTTGTTCCACCTTAGGACCACACGCTCCAATATTACATTTCATCAACCCTTTAACCGTACAAATTATGGCTTCAATTCATTTTTGCATTGGCTAATTTTTACTCAAATGAGTTGGATTTTTTTCCTTTCTCCTCTAGTTTTTATAGGGATTTGAAGATAACTGTGATCTGAATGTAAACTAATGGTAGCTTGTAAATTGTGCTTTATCATCTATTGTTTGTTGTATATTGTAGTTAATATTGTTGAATTTTTATTGTATTGTATGTACATGTGATATATTTCATATTTTTTTATTTAGTATTATTGCATGCATTCGTTTATCAGTTTATCAATTATCCATTGTAAAAATGGGCTTTGCTCGTCAATAAATAAAGTACATTAAATTAAATTAACGGCTTTAATCATCAATTTTAGACTTCAAATTTTTATAAACACATTTTTCCTTAGCGATTATTATTATTATTATTACATATTTTGATGTAACGTGGAATACAACAAGATGAAAATTCAGATTGCTGAGTGAGGCTAAAATTAATGACATGTTCATTTCTGATTTCGTGTTTAGCTTTTCTTGTGCTTTCTTCACCAGAATTGCTACTTTCCTATACTAGTCCAAGTTTATCCTGGATGTGACTTGGCGCTCTTGTTGTTTTTGTTGAGGTGTCTTCAATATGTTGTTGGTGTTGTTGAGGTGTCTTGGTGGTGATCAAATCAAATAAAAATGTATTTATGTTAATAACACAATATAGCGTTTACACACGTCAGACAAAAAAATTAGAAAAAATACTTAATAATAACATCAGAGAACTAACAATTAAGATTTGTCACAATAGTAAAGTTCGCCAATAAGGCTTGCTAAAACGATTAAAATATTACCTTGCATTTTTCGGGACTCGCACTTCAATTGAAATTGTTACCAGAAGTTTCTTGATCTTGAAACGAATTACTACAAGCTCTCTGATGATTTTACCTCTGACCTATTCTACCTATCAAATTATTTTTATAAAATAAAATACTCGAATCGAGTTACATTTTATTTCAAAATACTCGATTAGGTCCGGATGACTTCTGAACTTAGTTAGTAGTTAGAAAATAGTTCCAAAAAGAAAAGGAAAAATGACAGAGGCAGTATCAGAGACTAGAACTTAAAATCTATGTATTCCTTTGTACTATGGTACTATAGAAGGCTTCCCTGGCTAGTGAATCTTTAATTTTCAATTTAAAGCCCTTAACAGTTCAGAATGTGATATTTTGTAGGAGTCTGTTATACAACCTGACAGCTAGAGACTCGGGTATTTTTCGACACTAAGCCTACAATATGCTGTTACCAGATAAGTTTTGTTCCTGGTATTAATGTGTGTCCTCATGACTTGCAAATGCACACTCGTTCTCTTTTATGAAAAGCAAGTATTGAAAAATGAACACCGAGGGAAAAGTAGCACACCTAATCCCACGAAAGCAGCCCTGCAATCCTCCCGGTATCCAAGTCCGGCAATAATTTGGATGTCCCTTCTCTGGAGTCTGAAAACCCTCTCGGCATGTCCTGAGCCACCCCAGGCTGTCGTTCCATAGGACATAACGTTATGAAACAATG